CAGAATCAGTCCACTCCTGAAAAGGCGCAGTAGGATACGCAAGTCGATAGAAAAACAGCGCTTACCTTTAAATTCGGTACGTCACTGAGAATCGTTCGCACCGGATTGAAAATAAGGTCGATGCACAACTTCATGATCTTGTTATGTAGACTTTGAAGCTTCTCCGCAAATGTGTGCAAAAATTTGTCACAATTCTCAGCGTTTTTTTCTATGTTCTGATCTGAGCTCAGTTTGAATTTTGACAATAAATAGTTGTCAATAGGAGAGAAATAGTCGTCAATTGCCAAAATGACTTCATCAAATTGAGTCAAGCGTAACGAATTCCAGTTTGTTCTGAAAGTTTCATCGCAAAATATATTATAAATTATGAGAATAAAGTGGAAAAAGTAAGAAAACATAACATTTTTGCTGGAAACTTCATATTTCAAAACTACTTGTCGCCTAATTACAGTCGTTCCTTACAACTGAAGCAATGGAAACAAAAATTTTATCCACTAAGCCCTAGGGATAGCGACATTATTACGATGTCATGTTTTGCTCAAGCATGGGCAGATGTTAATGAGGGCTGAAATATTGCGCAGAGAGTGAAAAACTATAAGATATGCGCGTCAGCTGCAACTGAACAAGGAATTTTTTATGAATGAGCAGTCGTGGAATATGACAACAATGTCACTATGAAACACTCGTTCAACCACTGGAGGTTTGGCTTCAAAAAAGGAGCAAGGAGCAAAAATTATTACCGCGCTATGACGCGCTGGCAGATGACGCTGGACAAAGAGAAGCCATAAAAGTAATAGCAAAGCTTATGAATTTCGGATGATACGAGATATCCGAACACTGAAGGCAGTTCGGTTTTTGTACAAATCACGCAGCATCGCTGAACTGACCACTTTTAGAATTTTGTTCACTTACACTTCTTTGCACATGTTTCGCTCTACAAAATCCAACTGCATCGTTAACGCGGTAGAGAACGGACGATGCTAGAGAAAAGTATTGAATGAGAAGACGAAATACGGTGAATGTGTGCCATCTTTAGCTGCTACAGGAGCGGTGACAGCAAATCGTGAATACTGATTGTACAGGCCATGTAAGGTGGATAAAGTGTGAACAGAAATCTTCATAAGAACCTCGTTTCAGAAGGTAAGCACATTCTGATTACACGTCAGAACGAAATGCTTAGGACCATCGTACATATTAATCACTTCCTGAAGCAAAATGGTGTAGTAGAAGAATCGAAACAATATCATTAGACAGTAAATTCCCCACAACACCTGATCTGCTTGCTACAAGGGACTGTTCATCTGGCAATATGATCCTCATGCTGAATGGTATGCTACTTGTGTGTCACTCGACACTGTTCATCTAGTAGTGCTATTACAACAGAGCTAGGCGATATATCTGATATCGAGGACGCTAAAAATTTTCAAGTATCGCAATCATCTGAAATTTCTGAAATTTGAGTCACTCCGAAAAATTATAAAAACTCTGGAACTTGAAGTGATTCGATACAGAACATTAGCAGCAATATATACCCATTATCACAAAATCAATATTACCTACAGCACCAAGGCTATAATTAAAAAACTGCTCTCTGTCTTGCGGCAGTGTAACAGAAGAGATTACTTCGCGGGCAAACTGCACTGCTTCGAATGTTAAAGGCGTAGTACAAATCTATAGGAATATTGTACAGCACATAGTATTGAGTAGTGCTAAGATGATAACTTCCCATGCGCAATTGGTCCGCATTTGTTGATTTTTAAACCGTATGAAACGTCGGCCCCTAAGCGAAACAGCCACTACGATGTAGGTCCTCATCCTGTAAGCTTAATGATACCAATCTTCAGGCCACAGACATGCACGAACTTAAACATGGCGTCATTTACGCGTTCTGATCTGTAATGACTATTCAAGCTAACAAGGCAAAGAACAGACACGTACTTCTCCGGCGTCTTTGTTTTAAATTCAGTGACTGTGTCGAACAGAAACTGGGCCCTCAGCAGTAGGGCCTCTTGCAGCTTCCCGAGCTGAAGCCACATATATCCTGAAACAACAGCGCATTTAAAGTTAAATCATTGTTTGTAAAATGTCAACATTAATGAATTTAATGTTCGGATTAAGCTAAAGCATGCTAGAGAAATTAGACCTTTCAAAGGGCAAAAAAAGATTTTACCTGCAACTTTTGATAACGAGAACATGTCTACGAAATTTTCCTCGAACCTCGTTGACTGATCAGTAGAAAGAGAGCTGATAGAATTGATAAATTTTTCAAGAAACGTAGCGCAATGCAAAAAATACTTCTAAAATTATCGTCTTTACGGCAAAACTGATCGCTATAGCGATATGAACAAATTTTTTTACGTCAAGGGTGCTTTCAAGAAACGGAAGTGCCAAGTTATGACTGAAAGCTTGACAACGCTCAACGGCCTAAAAGTGAGCAGAACACTCGACCAATCAGTTTACATAACAAAACATCAAACAAACCAGAAATCCTTCTGAAAAACACTTTTCGACAACGGTATTCCATCGACGTATGGACATTTTCGTGGTTTCCTAAATTAGACCATCAGACATTTCGACGATAGCGGATAACCCCTTTGATGAGAAGCACTTTATTTTGCGAGTCAAACCGCGTCATCAAATATTCTTCTTCCAAATGACTGTATAAGCCAAACAATTTAGGGTAGATGCGATAGGTGTTTGTCATAAACTCCAACACGCACTTAACACTGGAATTCAAGCCACTGCTATTCATATACGAATTCATATTTTCAGTGAACTGGTCAGATGCCTAAACATACAAGTTATTCAGGAAACACATACTATTTGAGCTACCTGCTTCATCGCGATCAGATCTGTCAACTTATCTTCCGAGCAATCGAGCAGATCATCGATCACCTGTTCAAACGGAGGATCCAAAGTAGTTATCGCCTTGTTTAAACCGTTAGAAACTATTAATGCTGCAGAACGCATTGCGGGATGCATCCACTTCAACTAAATGAATAATTTTTCGTCTGGCGATTCATTACGCGACGTTACTTGCTCAAACCAATATGAAATTATCAAATCATAAAACATATTTTGAATGTTCAGGATACCCCCTTTAATATTCTTCGAAAGTTCTGACCAACTGTCGCTGATGCTGTCCTTAAATAAAGCAACGAAGCAAAATTAGTACTAGATTACTAAGTAACTACCTTAACACATCGGCAAAACAAACCTTCTAAATCAGTCGTTCGATCAATTTGACTGAACATGTCAAAAAAATATTTCACAGACTCTAAAATAGAAATCGACATTAAAATCAGCAGCAATAACGTGAATATCAACATTTTCCACTTTACACAACAAATACCGCGACATTTTCGAAGTTGATAATCCCAATCAACAACAGAAAATCTGAGATGTACTTCAATGGTCAAAGTGCAGAACCCAATCATAATTCCAAAAATGAGCCATTTATACAACGCAGTCAACCAGTCATAGTTTAGTATATAAACAACCTTTCAAATCGAAACACCACTTTGGGTTGTGAGAAATTCAAACATGTCGAAAAATAAGACAACTGAAAACATAGGGCATCATTCAATTTCTACATACCATTGTCCAATGGAAATTCCGCTTTACAAACAGAAGCTAGTTTTCTCTAATGCATTTTCCAGATTTACATGTGCAGTCGTACCGCTCGTTAACTTTTAAAGCTCAGACTCACATCTGAGACAGTGTCGACTGTGTAACATTTCAGTACCGGCAACTAATGAACGTAAAACTGCATCACTCTGTTGGATTGAGCAAACAATCTGTTCGAAACAACAGTGGAATATGCAACATAAGCACGGTGCTGTAAGCTCCAAGAATTCCAAGCAGGATGGAGCAATACCGTGAACTAATTAAGGGAAGTTAAAATTTCTCGAAGCAGGGAGTGATGCAATCATGGAGTGTGCAAGTTTGAGAAGAACATATACTGACTGTTCAATGATCATAATCCGAAAGTCCGGTTACGAAATTACAAAATCCACTCCAGAAAACTGTCAGTGGCCACTAGGGGGCTTCGGCTTCGGCACTTGAAATTAATTCTGTGATAGTAGGATAGTTTCAATATTTAAGCTTCAACATTTCCACGAGCTCATTTTCAAGTAAAGAGTAATTTCAAAATAGATGAGCAAAAAATCGTCGAAAAAAACTTGTACCAACCTATCGATCGGGAGGTAAATGCAATAACGACACTTGGTGTAATGACAGATATAAATTGGTCTTTCAAGGTTTCTAGATAATTTCTTCGATCGGCATATTCGGCAGGCTAAATGCATTAATTGCTCCATGGCAGCAAGAAACTACTACAACCAAATACCGTAGTTTTATTTTCAAGTTCCTGTAGGCTCTGCTGAAGGTCGACAATTCTCTTAGCTATCACGTCCGGTTCTCCGGAAAGGAACAGTTCATCGACATCTTTCACCAACGTTGTCCAGTTGCTTATTTCCTAAAAAAATCATAACATAAAACGGATAACCTATTTTCAGAAAAGTCAAAGTAACTGTAAATCAGACTTTTCTGAATATATGTTGAAATGCAAAAGATAAATCAAAAGATTTTAATCCCATAGATCGACATTTCAGATACTGTCCATCGTTTAGACAAGAAGAAGTAAATCAGTAGTATGTCTAAGCAATTCTGCTAAATCTAAATTTATCATCTTCATATTCCGTAACCGCTTCTCGTATCTATCGCGGAGGCAGATGCAGCAGACAGGGCTCCCATCGTTTCTGATCCTGTGGCAGAGTCAAGATTTGGCGGAAGACAACCGACAGTGTGCTTAATCTAACTTAAGCAAACAATTTCATTTTGTGTTCAGAGAGTGAAAAAAAATCATGCATAATAGGACACAGGAAGCGTCTATCAGGAATCTAGCACCCAAGGTGGTAAAACAAGGTAGAATCAGCTCTGCTCTCTGAGAGGAATTGTTCCTCTTACGATGCGGTTAAGCGATGTCTTTCAGCAAAATGTTCGAATGCAGTGGACGTAACGATCTAAAGACATTCTACTCTACTCAAGTAAACCGTTGAAGGCAATGATCACAACAAACATAGGAACGTTATTGTAACTGCCTTTGTCTAGGAGGCGAAAAAAATTCATTTCCATTCATTTCTTGGCAACATCTGATGACACTGTCGCTGTTAACGTATCTGTTCATCCGATTCATCACTAATGCACGGACCTTAGACACCATCAGCATATACATATTTCACATTGACTTAACTACAACAGCTGTTTCAGTCAATTAGCTCACTTTTAAGCTATTTTCCGTACACACGAGTCTTTGTTTGACAAGATCAAGTTTCAGCAGGGCTTCCATAGCGGCAGCGGTGTTCTTTTCGACCTAAAATCAGAACTACTCAATTAAGATCCAGAATATGCTGCATGAAAACGGTGCTGATATGAACAGCGCATGATGAAAGAAATTTCTTTTTCGTCGCTCAAAGTTTATTAGTGGCTTGGTGGTTTATTAAAAGTGACGGAATAAAATCTGTTGAAAGTTTTCAACTGTTGGGCTATCAATCTTACTGATACTTTCATGACAGGAATCACTTCCGGATCGATTTTCAACAGAGATTATGATATGGAACAGTTAATACTTGTCCAACCGACCGGCTGAAGACCCCGGGGATGGCCAAGAATAACTCTGGGCAAGTGTGTTGAATGACTCAACTCCAGACTCGGGATATTTTCTGCCAAAGCTCAAACGCTGGCACAGGATTGTAAACGTTGAGACAACGTCTGGGGAATCTGCCTCCGTGATCCGAAAGGATAAGTGTACCTCGAAACTGAGTGACTGATCATGATACAAATCCCTTACTGAAAATAATGCCTTGAAGTAGGAGATCACCAAGGTATATAGTCGCCTGCTTTCGGTCCACGAAGTGAGTGGTCTTGATTACCTACCTTGGAAAAATGAAAGGCGACGAGAGTTCTAACGCTCAATTTTGAGAATGGAAGTTTAGCATTCTAACGATCGAACGAATCAGATGAGATTTAATTAGATTCCAAGACCAGAGTGCATTTAATCTGCATTTTAAGGCAACTAGTTTGTCGAACTCAGCCCGAAAAGGTCATCTTCCGCTTCACAATACTCTGATAAACTAAAGTGGAATTCACACCTATTGACGCACAATGTGCGCAAAAGACGCAGGTAAAAATGATTACCATTAGTACTTTCAAAAGTATGCAAGTAACGTCTCTTATTTGGTGGCTTCACGGCTGTTTTATACTCAAACTCCTGCAGAAGAATCCCTTATATATGCACTGTAAAAACTCTTTCCATCATGCCCACTACGACATGAACAATGAATGACCATTCGATTTAGACGGACTGAAGAAATGATGAATGATGCCCAGGTCATGTACAACTGGAAATGGAAAGTACATAAATTAACTAACCGCATGGTCAAAACATGGACGTCCAGTGTTGAAACCTTGTCTCTAAGTGTATACCGTAATGAACTAGCGGAGGTTTTGAAAAAACGTCACAAGTCAGACATGTATTAATAAACTGAACGTCATATTTAATGCCAACGAATTACGATGTCAGTGCGATGTTCAGTTATCGTTTAATGGCAAACGCAAATCAGCAATGTTATACATGAAGTCATACCTCGTGAACCTTCATTTGTGCGAACATCATCTTCTCTCTCAGTGAGAGCAAGGACTGTTCAACAACATCTGTTTTGGTTAACAGCCTTAAATCAGTACTTGTTGGATGAAGTTTCTAGCTAAAATTATACCTAGGTATTATATCTACAATTTTCAGCTGACAAGCAGAGAGCGATTCTGAAACTGAGGAGCGCTCTTCTCGTAACCTGACAATCAGTTTATTCACGGCAGCCTAAAGGAATGCACATAAAAGACTGACTCCGTTCTCAAAACGGGAACTACTTACTTCACGTTCGTCAGTATTCGAGACGCCTTCCAATGACCTGTTTATCCAAGAGACCGGATCAAAATCTGCATGATCAAACACGTTCATATTTTCTAAAAAATGGTACGTATATAAGAAAGAAAACTAACCTCACAAAAATAGCAAAATCAAAATGCTGCAGTATGTTTGTCATCGCAACTTATGTCACAGTAATTTTCAGTAAAATGCTGTATATTCTAAGATGCTTCAGGAGCCAAAGGTGATAGAATTTACAAAACTGAAGTACCACTTCGACTGTACCAGGGAAAACAGGAAAGTGTAACGACTTGTACCCTCGTCGTGTGAATGATGATGAACAGAAGAAGGACGAAGATCATTCTGATGCTGATAACCGTCCCTTTCCATTCAGAAAACAAAGCGAATGAATCCAGTGTAGGTGACGTCATTATGTCTCATAATCCAGATCTGAACAATCCGGATATAAAATTTGAGACGCGATGACGTTCACTCAAATTCCTTATATTCCATCTAACGAAATTCGAATTTGGGTCAATTCATTAAACTATCAGTTGGCGGTTAGGGATTGACAGATCTGTTCAGAACGTGAGGAAAATATCTGTAGGACATGTTCACTATAACAGACGCAGAAACTGGGACTATCGTTAGGATTAATCAAAAACAGCAAGAAAAAACATTGGCTCGACGCTGTCTGCAATCTCTTCGACGGGCAAAAACAGAACTGCATTAGACCGTCAAAAATTCAGCATCACCAAACACTCCAGCTGGATGATGAAGATCAGAAAATCCGGAATATCGACAGCGTTAGATTCATATTCTCGTTCTTCTGAACAGAAATGAGAAAGAAAAACCATGTTTTGCATTTTTCGAAGATTAATACTGACAATGGTCTCAGTTATTTCGTCTGTGTCGTTTGTTGTCAGACTGCTTTTGTCTGGGACAGAAACTTCTTGCCTCGCATACGAACGAGGTCTAACAGCCCTTAATCATCAAACGATAATTTCATAGTTCATGCCAAGCTTGGCTTGTCGCGATAAGTGCGGCCCAATTCAGTCGTAGTCGCTTCGTCTTTCCTATCATCTAACTACGCAATTTTTGACCTGTTTTAAAACATGCGTTTAACACACTTGGAATCGTGATATTGATCCGCCGCTTATCGTTACGTCATAATGCATGGTCGAGGAATGTGAGTTTCAACTTTTTATTTCCACAGGCGAAAAGTTGACACTAATCCGTATTCGATGGATTCCACTTGTGCTTTATCTGCCATCCTCAAGGAATTTGGCATCTGCAGTCTTAGCAAATTGTCTGAAGATAACTATTTGCGGGATAAAGAGCGCTCAAATATATCTACCACAAGGGCCTATGTTGTTACGATGTACATCAATACTGGTCGAACAGCAGTCGAATAACACGTGGACTTTCACTGATTTACTGCCAACAGTTTTCTACAGATTTTGATGCAGCATGTTACCGGCATTTCGAGCTTCCCAGATTATTTCCTAAACACCTTCTTTACAGTTTTCATCACTATTGATCAACTATCCAATATAAGAAACTGGGTGATATACTGAGCATCTTCCCAAGAAATCTAGCGATTGCTGAAATCCTATGGAACGTACGCAAGGACTTCGCATTTTGATGCATTCATCATCAGCCCATATTTCGCGCTGGCTGTTTCCATTGCCGTCAGCAAGCATAATTTAGAACTATAAGCCGTGTGATAACATGTGAATCGATGTTCCTCAAAGTCTATGATGAACTCGGCAACCAGAAATTTTCACCTAGCTGAAATTTATTATTATTATCAAATTAAGATAACTGACCTTCTTATTCCATGGCTGGCATAAAGATAGACAAAAAATAATTTTATTTATAAGAATTCCAACGTTTCAGCCGAACTGGCATCGATCATAGTTAGGGAATGAACACGAAATAAAAACAAACTGCTAGGTCAGTTGGTGCTTCACACGATTGGTTGGACAATAGACTGGTCGCACTTATGCTATTAATCATGATCTACACCCCGGAAATGTCAATAAAGACAATGCAACTTTTCCTACATTTGCCCGAAACAATGTGTAGCGGTCAAAAATTCTTTTCAACTGATGGCTCCAACATTCTTTTCCTTTGATTTACCGTCGACCGCTTCACAAGGAATTAATTCCACGTTGCTTCGGCTCAACCGGCTGAGAAACGGCTACTGTCCAGTGCAATATAGCTAACATAAGGTGTAACTCAAATTTCGTTCATTATTTCTTTCCATACTCATAGACTCCCGCCCTCCTTCTTAATTTTCGTGCAACTTACACACGTCTTATAATGTGCGTGTGTATGATTACATCGTTTTAGGCTTCATAAACTTTCTCTAAATAAATATTTCATTTTCAGATTTACTACGATTTATTTAATGAGCAAATCTTTTATCGCCGGTTTTGTTTCATGCACTCAGCCGTCAAACAAATTTAAAACAACGTGCCCTTAACTTCATACGTAAAATTGTAAACAATAAGAAAACGAAAAATACAATATGGCAGATGCTTCTTGTCTGACGAACAGACGGAAATCTCGGAGAAGGAGCAGACTGTCATGAACCAGCGAAGTCTCTAGATACGCAATGGATGTGCCCTACCGGCCGGTACTCAGGAGGTATGACAAGATCGTCGACGCTACCGTTAACTCAGCCCAGCAACCCGGAACTAGTTGGTTAAATGCGTAGAAAATACACACAAGTACCAACAGAAGTAGAAACTGGCAAGCAGTACGTCAGGTATGGTACATCAGCGGTGTACTAAAAAATATCTCACATCTCAGTGAAAAAACTTTTTATTCGCAGGCAATGCCGCATAATAATACTCATACATTTAATGCAGGCGGGAAAGATGACAACCGGCAGATGAAAACGAACATTTTGTTCAGTTGCAATTCAGAATTCTCATCTGTCAAAAAAATCGAGATCAAATCAAACGATGCACGTTTGGAGAAACGATGAATGTACCATGGATGGACGTCATGTTAAGGGTCGACCAGATGTGCCACGAAGCGCTTTACCTCGTTGCTGTACGCTTCGATTTGAATATATTTCCTGAGCAGGAAGAGGATATAAATGCAAAACGTCGTCAGACCAATGATCGCCGCAGCAAATAACAACAATACGAAAATGACGAAGGTGTTCAGCTGCGCTGTTGGCAAATCGGTGAAGACCTGT